TCGGTTCCACAATGGCATGCACGCCTCGGACACCCTGCTTTACGCACAGTGAAAGAAATCCTCTCAAAGCACCATCTCGCAGTCACCAAAAATAAAAGTTTTCCAGTGTGTCATGCTTGTCAATTAGGGAAAAGTCATAAATTACCGTTTCATTTATCACATTCTGTTTCGTCTACTCCTTTTGAGTTAATCTTTATGGATGTATGGGGTCCCTCACCCACCGAGTCTGTTCATGGCAATAAATATTATTTAAGCATCATTGATGACTTTTCTAAATTCATATGGCTATTTCCTATTGATGCAAAATCAAAAGTTGCACAGACCTTCATCAATTTCCAACTTCAAATTGAACGCTACTTTGATTGCAAAATCAAAAGCGTCCAAACTGACTTTGGAGGTGAATTTCAAGCTCTAAAACCACATCTCCTCAAATCTGGCATCATTCATCGTCTGTCCTGCCCACACACTCACGAACAAAATGGGTCTGTCGAGCGCCGTCATCGCCACATCGTCGAAACTGGTCTCACCCTAATGGCCACTGCCTCTATTCCCCATCAATACTGGGATGATGCCTTCATCACTGCCACCTATCTCATAAATCGCCTCCCTTCTCCAATCATTCACCACAAAACTCCACTTGAGCTTCTCTTCAACCAAACACCAGACTATACCCTCCTCCGTACCTTCGGGTGCGCTTGCTGGCCCTATCTAAGACCATATAACTCCCACAAAATGGATTACCGCTCCGATCTCTGTTTCTTCCTTTGATATAGCCCCCACCATCGAGGCTATCGTTGCCTCCAACCATCATCGGGCCGAATCTTCATTTCCAGACATGTCATCTTTGATGAAACCAGGTTTCCTTTCCAACAAACGATTCCCCCCTCTACCTATTTACAACCCTCTCTCACATCACTACCCTCATCCCTCTCTATTTCGCAGCCTCACCCTTTGCAAAATGCCTGTGTATTTCGCAGCCTCACCCTTTGACAAATGACTTACCGACTCTCTCATCAACTCCATTGTACCCTAACTTAAGCCCAAACTCCCAACCCGAGCCCAATCCTGAAAACCGAAATTTGCATCCTATGACCACAAGATCCAAAAATAATATACACAAACCCAAAAGTCTCCCCCCTGATATGACTCCCACTCCGCGGGCCTTAATCACCGAGATCCAAGAAATTGAGCCCACTTCCTTCTCTACTGCCTCAAAAAGCCCACATTGGAGACAAGCCATGAATGAGGAATTTCACGCTTTACTTGACAATGGCACTTGGGTCCTCGTCCCTCCAAAGCCCGACACAAATCTTGTGGGCTGTAAGTGGGTCTACCGCATCAAGAAACGGGCTGATGGGTCCATAGAACGATACAAAGCCCGTCTCGTTGCGAAAGGCTTTCATCAATTACCAGGTATTGATTATGATGATACCTTCAGTCCAGTGGTCAAACCCACAACCATTCGAACTGTTCTCTCTTTTGCAGTGTCACAAAATTGGCCCATTCGACAACTGGATGTCAAAAATGCATTTTTACATGGACATCTACAAGAAACTGTTTACATGACCCAACCTCCCGGCTTTTTTGATCCATCATGTCCTGAGTATGTTTGTCACCTTCAAAAATCTCTGTATGGGCTCAAACAAGCACCACGGGCCTGGTTCTCGAGACTCAGCAATAAATTGATAGAAATGGGCTTTACTGCTTCCAAAGCCGATACTTCTTTATTTATTTTCAGGTCCAACCAGGCTGTCATTTTTTTACTTATATATGTTGATGACATCATCATAACTGGGCCTCAGCAATCTTTTTTAGACTCAATCATTACAAATCTTCAGCAAGATTTTGCCCTAAAAGATCTTGGGCCCCTTCACTATTTTTTGGGCATTGAGGCCCTACAGGATAACCGTGGACTTTTTCTCTCACAGCAAAAGTATATTTTTGACCTGCTCAAGAAAACCAATATGCTACATGCCAAACCGGTGAACTCCCCCATGTCCACAACAGCCAACTTATCACTCTTCAAAGGTGATCCTTTCAGTGATCCAACTCTTTATCGCAGTACAGTTGGCTCTCTCCAGTATCTCTCATTTACAAGACCTGATCTTGCATTTGCCGTTAGCAAAGTGTGCCAATTCATGCAGCGTCCAACAACAGATCATTGGACCGCAGTCAAACGAATTCTCCGCTATCTCCAACATACCATCCACCACGGCATTCTCATCCGCCGCACCTCATCCACAGACATACATGCCTTCTCCGACGCCGACTGGGCCGGTTGTCCTGACGACAGAAGATCTGTAAGTGGTTATTGTGTCTACCTTGGTTCCAATCTAATCTCCTGGAGCTCACGCAAACAACCAACGGTATCACGTTCAAGCACCGAAGCAGAGTATCGAGCAGTTGCCCATACCACTGCTGAAGTTATGTGGCTTCGTTCTCTTCTAACAGAACTCGGCATCTCAAGTCCAAATTCCCCTACACTTTGGTGCGACAATATCGGGGCCACGTACCTAACTGCCAACCCTCTCTACCACTCACGCACGAAGCACATCGAATTGGATATTCACTTCGTGCGTGACCAGGTTGCCCAACGTCAACTGCAGGTGCGGTTCATCTCGAGCACAGATCAAATTGCAGATTCATTTACCAAAGCTCTCCCCACTGCACGGTTCTGCCATCTCCGAGACAATCTCAATGTTCATGAGCTCCCATTGCGATTGAGGGGGCGTAATAGGACAACCGAATCTCACCAAACTGATAAAGCTCAAGACCAATTCAAACATGAAGATATAGATAAACATTTACGAGAGTAAATCTGGGAACTAACAAACTATCTGTAAATTTAAATATTTTCTACTGCTGTAACAGATTGAGCTTATCCAAAATCATGTATAAATAAAACAACATGTGATCCCTCTGTTTGTGTGAGGAAACATTTTCTACCATCTGTCTTGTTTGATTCTTTAAGATAAATTATAATTATTAAATTTGATAAATAATAGAAAGTAATAATTAAGGATATTAGTAACAGATAAAAAAAAAAATTTTGTACCATTTTACTACCATCTTTGAAGTTTGTAAATATTTCTTTTACCTTAAAAATTATGAAACCATCTAATAACTACATTCATTTATATAAGGCAAAAGTTGAAAGAGTTGTCTATTTCTCATTTAAAAAAAAAAAAAAAAGAAAGAAAAAGAATTCACTTAATTCACTCTCTCAACTGTTATCTTTTAATTCAAATTTAGATAAGTTATAAATATTCTAGCTACTTAGAGAAAAATCAATACCCCTACGTTTTGAAAGGTCTTAGTTTTTCGGATCATTAGATATAATAGTTTCAGGAATAAATCGTTGTAGCCTAGCCTCGATTAGGCAATTAATACCAAACATTAAATCCGAAGCTGTGCAACCCTCTCATGGTTTTTTAACATACCAAGTTAGAAGTTGTACTTTTTACTTTTTTCATTCTTAATATAAATAGATATCGGATCCCCTGCTAACTCTTTGATCTCAGTATTATTTTGGTTTTTTCTTGAGGACTATAAACTTGCCTTTCTAATTATGACAATATTTTCTGCCCTGCTTCTTCGCATCAGAGCCGTCCTAAAATATTTATGACCCTAGACAGGAGTTATTTTGGGACTCTCTAATAATAACCATATATAAAAAATTATTTCTTTTTTTTTTTTTTTTTTTTTTTTTTTTTTTTTTTTTTGCCTTTTGAGATGAAAAATCACTAGGAGAGGTGGACAGCAATCAGCAGGCTAACAAGGTTAGGTTGGTGGGGGGTTTTTGGAGAGTAGACGTTGGAGAAGTGATGGGTGATTTCCAATGCCAAGATTGATAAGAAAAGGCTTGAGAAGTCACGGCCCAAAAGGTATCGATGGCTGGTGATTGGCAGAGTAAACGGATAAGGTATAATAGGGGTTTTGGTTAGAGGGCTGAGAGGAGGAAGATGGTGGTGTTTGTGAAGTCCAATAATGTTTGGTTTATGCCAACAAGGTTGGAAATGGTTGTCGTGTGGTGGAGTTGGGTTGCGAGATTCATCAAAAATTAGTCAAATCGAGGGCTATCAAGGTTGGGATGATAAAATGATGATTTCAGTTGATTTTGGTGAGAAAATCGACCGAAACCAAAATTGACCGAAATCAACTCCAAACCACTGGCGGTAGAAGAGGGCTGGAGATGATTTATGTGAATGTCAAATTTTGGAATTGAATTGGGAGTGAATAATTTGAAATATGTAAATTACCATTTTAATCTTCTATTGTTAAAAGAGATTCAATGTGTTAATTTATGGGTATAAACTAAAATATATAAAACTAGAGGTATAAACTTGCTATTTTGTTAAACTTTGGGTGTGGATATATGTAAAAAGTTTATAATAAATTTAGATTTTTTTGGCTTTTTTTTGGGGCCCCTTGGCTTAGATAAGAAATTATAAACCATTTTCATTTTTGTAAAATATTAAAAAAAAAAAAAAAAAAATTTATAAAATATTTGGACCTCCATTTTTTTGGGGCCCTAGGCAGGTGCCTCACCTGCCTACCCCTTAAGCCGGCCCTGCTTTGCATGTGTATCATTGTTAGTTTTGAATGGCTGGCTGCATATTTTCATTCCTCTTGTATAAAGGGTCATTTTGGTTTCGTTTCTTCAAATAGAGTTTATAGTAGTACAATTTATGATTAAGAGAAAACTTATTTGTCGTTTGGTTATGTAAACGTAAATGTAAAAAATATCCTTTATTAATAAATTATCAGAAGAAAAGGGTTTTATTATTTGTAAAAGAAAAATGAAATAGAAATCTTAATACATTAAGAGTATTACTTGACATTTCAAAAGCTTAAAAAAAAAGCTCATATAAAAGTTTATGAGAAAAGATTAAATTTTCATTATTTTTTATCAAACAAGACATAACATAATTTATTCGAACATTTACAAGATCTCATGTCTTCCTGTTCTTGGGTCGTAAATAACGGCGAGTTGGATAGAACTAGAGGGGCGGGGCTGGGGGCTGGGGCGCGAGCCTGAACCAGGGCCGGGCTTGGGGCGGGGGCGGCTGAGAGGTACCCACACTTCCCTTCTGGATTTGATATTGATCACTTAAGCCAAAATGTGACATTAGAAGACGTACATGACTGAGCCACTCTCCACCTTTAATAAGTTGTTGCCCATGCTCTTTCCACCCACCATGACTTGCAGCATATGTCAACATTTCTATCCATACTTCACTTACCATCTTCCAAACTTGTTCATGACTCCAACCATATTGTCTAGACTTCAAGTTCTGCAATTGCTTGGCTAGTTTGCACCCGTAATATAGCACCGATAAACTTCGATCCCCTTTAATATCTTCCACTAGTGAACCGTCAGTATTCACTTGAAGTAACATTTGGCAGGCTTCATTTCTTGAAATATTGGATATTTTTTCCCTCTTCCTTTTTCTTTCAAAAAATCTTAGGGCCTCCGCACAAGTTTCCCTATACCTTATCTCACCAATCCCCTTTGGTAACATGGTTGGACATATAACTAAAAGATACAACATATAATCTGATAATTGCTTGCAGCTTATAGGAATTCTATTATCATCTGCATTGACACTATGATCAAGATAATGAAAAAGATCGGTAGCAATGTGCCAAAGAAGAATGCTATGATCAAATTCTACCCCAGTTGTACTCCAACCAAATTCATTAAAACAATCGCCAAGCGCATAATCACCTCTTTGAGCCAACAATTCTTTGCATAGCTTGATATTAAAAAGATCACCTTCCATTTTCTTACCATTCTCTCGGACCTTCTCAAAGATCATTTCTTGTAGGTCGACATTCACATCCTCCCAAGTCAAATACTGGTATTTCTCTAATATTTCCTTGATGCCAAGTAACTTGGGAGCTCTAACAGTTTTGGATGAGATGTCTTTTAGACACAAACTTAATAGGTTGTACTGACCCATTGACTCTGACCACCTCTTGCTGTTGTTCAAAAGTAAACCATGGCAATTAAAATTATGCTTGGTCAGCCAAAGTTTTGTCCAGTCAGATAGCAAAAGCACGATGAATGCGTAAAGGTCCAGAAAAACAGCACCAAGCAGGAGTACACAAGTTATGGAGATGTCAATTGGTGAATAGGCATGCTTATCGACAGCATATAAGAAGACAATTGATACAGAAACATGGGAGAAGAAGCAGAAGCAACGAAGAAAGATTCCGAATCTCGAATAAATTGTGGTTGCCTTGGAGAAGAGCACATCATACATGAATCCAAGCTCAACAGCTACCAATTTGAAGGCATCTTTTGGTGGTTTGTTGTGAATGAGGGAATAGCTCTCTTTTCTTTCATAATGACTGAGAATCAAATCTGCAAAGAGACACCTTAATCTCTCAAATAACATACTGGCCTCAACGAGATAATAATCCTTTGGTTTAATGCTTTCAACATTTGATACAGCTACTATTGCCGTTGATTCCTTTGTCTGCAACACCTCTCCACGACCTATTGCTGCCACAATTTCATCATATTCTGGTCCAGATTCAGGAGGAGATGAGAGCAAAGAATCTTTAAGTTGCTTGGCGCTTGAAGACCGGAGCACCAAAGTTCTCTCTCCATACTTGATTACTCCAATGATAAATACTGGAATGGCTAGGAATATAAAAGCTTCATTGTTGTCCCAGTAGCATCGTACGAGGATGTAAAATGCCACCCCAACTTGGATTACAAATCCAAGTAAGTGCCTTAACCACAACTCATTGTCTTCTAAAGAGTAAGCTGTGATAGTATCTGGACCACCAAGGTGTAAGAGAAGGAACGATGCCCAAAATGCCTGAATTACATTGTTTGGTTGCGAAGAATCATCATTAAAAAGTCCTTGGCTGCGGGCAAGGATGCCCAAAGCAACTGTTGCCACCCAATCCGCTGCCAAGTATGCTAACCAAACAAGAATGTTTATCCACCTACTTCTTCTGTATTTTCGTTGAGAACCAAATATAATGAGGATGATCTGTAAAGAAAGGCTCAGTAAAATCATCATTCGAACTTCGTATTCCCCCCATAGTTTGATGAGTTTCCCAGAAAAAGCTTGCGAGGCCATCGATTTTCTCTTTTCAAATCAAACTGCATGTGGCTAAATTTTTTTTTTTATTAAAAAAAAAATTGACATTACGAAATTTACACTACAACAAAAATACTTATTTCCTACATTTGTTTTTTAGGGATAATAGATATCGTCCCTGTTAACTTTAGTTCCTATGACAAAAAGAAAGCTCTGGGAAATTCCAAAAAAAAAAAAAAATGAATAAAGAAAAAAATGATAACTTTTATTTTAATGGTCAGGTAGCTCTAGAAAACATTAAAAATTTGTACTCCTTATATTAATAGTGTTACTAACCTCATTATTAATCACTACTACTTCAACATTAGTCCTAGTTTTTAATGTATAAATCAACATTATTGTTAACGTTCACCACGAAAAAAAAAAAAAAAAATTTAACGTTAGACTAATTTTAGGTTAGTCCAATCCTTATATAATATTGGACCTGGAGTTTAGATAATATAAATTTTAAGCAGATAATTGACATAAGTATTATCATATAATATAATGTATAACATATTTGCTTGATTACGGTATCTTTGTTTTTATATAATACAATTAATAATAATTAGATAACATGTATAATTTGTTAGTTAATTATGATATATAATTTAACATTAATGGTTTTTTTTTTTCTTAAAGGGTGAATTTGTAATACAAATTATTGTATGTTGATTTCAGTGCGAGGTCCTAGTTATGTTGTTACAATGTCATAATTAAAGTAACAAGCACAAAAAAATTGTAAATATTTATCATATTGAAAAATACATTTATTACGAGATTAAGGAATGACACATTTCGTATTTTGGGTTTTCAAATGTAATAAACAAAATACAGTTCACTTAAAAAAAATCAACAATTTTTAGATATATAACTAATGGCAGAACCAGAAAATTTCATTTAGGGGGGCCGAAGTGTAGAATTTAGAAAGTAAGGGACAAAATAAATTAATACATTTCAAGTGGCAAAACATATTTATAGTTAAATTTTCAACATTTTTATATTGGACCTGAGGTGACCGTCCCCCAATTAAGGCCATAATGTTGGTGTATATAACAAAATCTGCATCATTCAAAGTTAATTTCACCACCCAATCTTAGCCAAAAAAAAAAAAAAAAAGATTAATACTCTAAACTCTCCAAGCTTTATTATATATACTCTAAACTCCTGGGTATTAGAAATAATCCTAAAACCCCGTCGTTACCCAAAAGTTAAGGAATCTATGTAAATTAAACATATGAAGGGCATAAAGGTATATGAACTATAAAAATATAAAACAAAATTTTTTTATTATTATTTTTTTTTTTTGTTTTTTAATGTTCATAATGCTTGGAATAATAAATCTAGAATTTCACTGTTTATCTTATTAGACCCTATTTTTTCATTTTTATTTTTTCTTATTACAATTTAATTCACAGTAGAAGATAGGGATGTGCATACTCTCAAGATAAACCCTGGTGATATTTTTTACAAGAGCCCCAATTTTTCTTCTACATCTTAAACTCTCAATTTGTTTATAAATTCATACGAGATATCAAATATAAATATTTGATTGACGACTCAGGGATTTTAGGTTTATTGTAATTTTTATTTATTTAAATATTGTGATTTAACAAAGTTTAAATCTAATTGATTACAAGCTCAAAATTAAAACTAGCTCAATTAACAGAAACAGAAGAAAAAAAGTTGCACCTGGTTAAGAACTTGTGATGTTACTGCACTGGTGTTTTGGAAGACCAGTAATTTTGCCTGCCGAACCAACAAGCTTGATGTACTGCAATTTTTTAAGAACTGGCTTTGTAGATTTTACTTTTAATTAGAAGAAATGCAGGAGACAAGGCTGACTTCATGAAGAATTAAATTATATTGAATATATAATGTAACATGTCCAAAGAATAACTTGTGTGATGGGGATGGAATTTTTCATTTATAACTTAAGGTGACTTGTGGAATGAGAGAGAACAGGTTCTCCTTCAGAATAATGGTAAAGAATAGCTTCATATTAGGGTTTAGTATTCCAAGTTCAAGGATAGAAGTGATGAATCTATGAAACGATTTTAGAAATTGAAGAACTGGAGAATTTGGGAGAAAAGAGGGTTATGGTAGAAATTGATTTACAGTATTAAGTAAAACAGTGACTGACTTTGAGTGTACAGTTTTCTTTTATAGTAAAAAGTTAAGGTTTTGTTTGATTCACTATTTTGATGGTTTTTAGAATAGTATTTTGAAAAAAAGTAAAGTTAAGTTAAATTGGGTTATCTTTACGAAAAAAGTAATTATTAGTTTTGAGTTGAATAAAGTTGAATTAGATTTTGTGAATATTGAAACAAATATGGCTTCGTTTGGTTCAAAATTTGAGGGTTTTGGAAAAGTTTTTTGAAAAAAGTTAAAAAAAAGTTGAATTGGGCGGATATTACGAGGTAGGATTTATAAATTAATAAAATGCCCCCTATATTTATTTTTTTACAAAATACCCCCTATAATAAAACATTAAAAGTTAACAAAAACACCCCTAACCCACCCTCAAATACCCCCAGCCGGCCACCACCACCGAAGGTGGCTGGAGTCGTCTTATCGGCGCATGACCGGCTGGATCTTGCCGGTCATGCGCCACTATGACCTTTTCCGGCCAGATCCATCGTGGATCTGGCCGGCAAAGGTCAGATCTACGGCCAGATTTGGCCGTCAACGGCCAGATCTGGCCGTATTTGCTCTCAACGATAGCCAACAAATGGTCGTCATTGATGGTCAACGACGATCGTTTGTTGGCTGTCGTGACTGACTGTTACGGCCAAAGATTTGGCCGTCAACGGCTAGATTTTGGCCTTAGATCTGGCCTTTTCCGGCCAGATCTACCGTGGATCTGGTCGGAAAAGGCTAGATCGATGCACTACCGACCAGATTCAGCTAGTAGTGCGCCATCCTACCAGATTCCGGCCATTTTCCAGCGGTGGTGGCCGGAATCTTGTAAATGAGGATTGTTGGGGTGTTTTTGTAATTTTTAAAAAAATATTTAGTAGTATTTAATTAAATTAACAAATTTAGAGGGTTTAAAAAAAAATTGAATAATATTGAAAATAGTATTCCCAAAAATAAGAGTTTTTGGGTATTTTACTGTTTAATTTTTTTGGGAATACTAAGAGTAGTATTCCCAATTTTGAACCAAACGAAGCCTATTTTTTTTGGGATTTTAAAATAGGATAATAGAATGAGATAGGGTAAAAATAATAAAGCTAAAGTCAAAGTCAAAGTTAAGTAAACAAGATTCTAAACATAAAGCTGACGTGTATACAAAGACTTTTCAAACAAAAGACTAAAGCTAAGATTGATTTTACACTCAATAATATATGCAAAGTTCATATTATGATTTAACTTCACTCAAGCGTCATTCACAAAAAAATAAAAGATAAAAATAAACGTGATTATTCAATGACTTAATTATCAGTTCATATAAAATTAGGATAAAATATTTGCTTTCAGTATAATTTTTAGTTATTTATTTATTTTTGCTTAAATTTTATTATGTATCTATAAAAAGTAATTATACATTAGAGATATTCATCTCACTACAGTAACACATTATAGGACATTATATAGTATTATCATAGATACATTATAGGTATTAAATTGATTTGTAATACAATGTAATAATGATATATATAAAATTATTTTCATTCCCTCTTTTGTGTCAAGTGAACCGTCTTTCTTTAGTTTTAGAGCACTTGTAGAAAAACCAAAAGAAATTCTAAAAATAGACATAATTTTCTCATAATTAACACAATGATACAATATAAACAATCTTAAATCTATATACATAAAATTACTGACATAATTATATTCTTCATCTTCACCTAAATCAGCGAGAGCCAAAGAGCTGAGAAGTTGATAGGTTTTTCTCATGCGGGAAGTGCCGGTCCCCAAAACCTTGATCTTGTTCAGGTGATAAATATTGCTGACCAAAACCTAGTTCTTTTTCACCTTTGGAAGATTTCTCAAGAAAGAAATCCTTCGGCCGGTTTGACCCTTGTGATGGATCGATCATGTTTTGTTGTTGATATTGTTCACTCAAGCCCAAATGAGCCATAAGAACACATATATGAGTGAGCAACTCTCCACCTTTGATAAGCTGTTTTCCATGCTCTTTCTATCCGCAACTATTTGCAGCATATGTCAACATTTCTGTCCACACTTCACTTGTCATCTTCCATACGTCTTCTTTCCTCCCAACATAATATCCAGATTTCAATTCTTGCAATTGCTTGGCCAGTCTACTTCCACTATATAGCACAGATAAACTTCCAGGTTTGTCCCTCACATTAAGCAACATACCACAGGCTTCATTTTTTGAAATATTAGACATATTTTGCTTCTTTATTTCTTTTTCAAAGAATCTCAGAGCCTCTGCACAAGTTTCCTTATACCTTATTTCACCAACAACATATTTGGACGCATAACTAACAAATACAACATATAATCTGATAGTCGCTTGCTCATTTTACAATTTATAGGAATTCCATTATCATCATCTCCGTTGTCAGCATAATCAACATGATAACAAATATCAGTGGCAATGTGCCAAACAAGAAGGCTATGATCAAAGTCTACATCAATTGTACACCAACGGAAGTTATCAAGAAAAGAGAACGGAAAAGGAAATATCCTACCTCTATTTGCTAACGCATTATCACCTCTCTGAGCTAACAATTTTTTGCAACTCTTGATATTGAAATGATCACCTTCAATTTTCTTGCTGTTCTCTATGATCTTCTTGAAGATCATTTCTCGTAGATCAATATTCACACTCTCCCAAGTCAAATAATGAAACTTCTCTAAAATTTCTTTGATGCCAAATAACTTCGGAACTCTAATAGGTTTGGATGATATCTCTTCCACACACAAACTTAAAAAGTTGTACTGACCCATGGACTCTGACCACCTCCTACTGTTGGTCGAAAGTAAAACATTGGAAACCAAATTACCACCGGAAGTAAATATACGCT